AAAAAAAAAAAAAAATGCTTTTCAAAAGGAACTCTTCTATCGTTCTGAAATGGTGCGGTATCACAATACAAAAAGCAAAAAACCTTTGCAAATCTTATTTTTCACTCCATTTATTTTGGAGTCAAAGCAGAATGGCACTTCTTCACAATGTCGCATGGAAGAACTCCTCGTGATAATACAGGAAGCACATTTAATAGCAAAAAGACTAGCAAAAAGGCAGTTTCTGAAAGGCACACTCAGACCAATCTCTACCGATCTCTACAACTGGGCACTGTATCGCTTGACAGAAATGTCCGTAATGTTCGCATCATCAAAAGAGTATGAGAGGGAACAGGATCGTTTTCTGTCACGTTCGCGTTCAAGCTCACCAATCGAGGGAACACGGAAATTTCACTGCTTCACAACACAAGCTGCTGGGGCAGTAACTACCAAATCTTGTTCACACTCAGGAACCAACGTCGTGTTTGGAATGTTTGGGTCAGAAGAGTTCAGTGAGTAAGCAAAGCGATACAGCCGGAAGAAATTATAGTAATAGTTTTTTTCAAAATAACTTTTTTAAAGGAATTAAAGGTCAAGAACTAAAAACCACCTACCTGTCATTGAATTGGTAGAAGTGAGAGACTGTTCAATAAATTATATATATTATTATATTCAAAAACATTTCAGTTAAAACAGGAGATCCTATTACTCGCAGAGGCACCAAAATGCTGCGTCAAATGAGATTTCTTGCAGTCTGCTGTCACCATCCGACCTTAGCTCTTGAAACCGGAAAGATACCATCTTGCAATTTCTATATATCGTGTAAAAATTATGCGTTCAAATATCTTTTTTGAAAAATTTATAATGTTTTTTTCAAGAAAAAGACGTTTTGAATTTTTATTTTTATTTCAGTTTCGCATAAAATTTTTTGGTGTAGTTATTTTACCATTTTTCTAGGTTTGTAGGAGGCATGCTCTAAAATAAAATAAAGACTAAAAAAATCCACTGCGAACAAAGAAAAATACAAGTTCTCAAGGACCATGTTGAGGAGGAACTGCTGTTTTTTCGCACTTTAGAACGGTCTAACTTTGCCACCAGCGCGGTTCTCGAGGTAAACTTGTTTGGTTTCACAATCGAGTATCAATTGATGCAAAAGGACAAATAATAAAAGAAATTTGAGAGGTCAAGTGAAAAAGTGTGTGCTTTAACATAGAATATCTTGTACGTGTGTATATGAGCCATTTCATTCCAAATTGCACACTGTTCTTCTTTCATTTCTGAAATTTTTTCAAATTTTACTGATTAGTACAGTCCAGACCAGTATACAAAAGCCAAAAAAAAAACCTGGAAAAATAAATTTCCCGCCAAGTTACACTCTATCAAAGTTGCAGAATTTGCCAGGTTGCCGCTTGAAATGCCTAACTCTGCGAAAAGTAATATTTTAAACAAACATAGAAAAAAAAACATGTTTTTAAAATTATTATAAAAGACATATTTTGTGCAGAATTTTTTGAAACTGTAAGAAGCCGCATGAGAAATCTAATAAATAAAGATGTTAAACTCTACTAAGAACAGGCTAAATTAGGAATTTGCAAAGGTAGGCATTTCAAGCGGCAACCTAACAAACTTTGTAACTTTAAGGAGGTGTAACTTGGAGGTGAATTCATTTTTTGAGCTTTTTTGGTTTTTTGTATACTGGCTTAGACTCTACTAATTAGTAAAATGTAAAAAAAATCTGAGATATGAAGGTAAAACAGTGCTCGATTTGGAATGGAATGGCTCATATATACAGACAATTTCATTTGCTGCATTAATCGAATTTCAAATTCCAATCCCATCCAACTATTCTCCAATCAGTAATATTTTATTCTGTTACATGAATCTGCATATATAAATATGGTAACCTACGAAGCAATTCGCATATAAAGAAATTTACCTTTAAGAATTTTTCTTCACCTACACCATCAGATGAGTCCAAGACAAAGACAATATCAAGCCAGTACAATAACTCATCCAACTTTGTGTTTTCACAGCCACAACTCCGAACATCCTCTACTAGTTTCGTATGAGGAGAATCTACAACTAAGGTGGTTTTTAACTGATTATGACTTCCATTGCCTCATTGAATAACTTTCACTTATAACAATCATAATCATACCAATAGAGCTAATATTAGCACAGATTTTATTTAAAGTCTTCTGTAATTCGTAGTAGGTTTTTATCAAGAATACCCTCCCTTTTGCTGCCTGCTCGAGCTGAACTGACTCAACCACTGAAAAAACGTAGTAGTTGAAAGTGTCGTGCATCAAGACTTCTTATCATGTAGACTAATTTCAGAAGCAAAAAGTTTCTGGAATGAGATTACTTAAAGCAAATATTAACTTATTTTTTATTATAATTGAAACTCCAAATTCTTTTTTAATTATTTTAAAATAGACACCGAAAAACTAAGCTTACTGATTCCGACGCCAATGGCAAATATTGAAATATTATAATTTTTTGCTTCACGGCGAGCAGATGCAACGTCTGAATCGTCAGACCCGTCCGTTATAATTATCATTACTCGTTGATGCTCCGTCTCGGAAGCATTTTTAAAAACCTGTATTGAAAGAACTTGCAGTAATAAATTAATGTTTTTCAGAGAATTATCAAAATTACAAAATAGCATTACTTCGGTGCCAAAATAGTGAAGACTTCAAAACGATAAACGAAAAAAAAAAAATAAAGCAACGAACTTTGACAGCTTCGTACATTCCAGATATAATATTAGTATCACCTTCACTATAACTCTGATTTATAACGGCAGTAACAACATCCTCTGTCGTGTTGAATTCAGTCAAGTCAAACGCAGTTGTACCATTTTCATCAAAGAGAACTAGTCCAAATCGATTTTGCTGAAGAAGTCTCTTGTTCTTTCACTTGACAAGTAAAACTATAAGATCAAGAAAAAAACACCTGTCTTAGAAATACCTGTCGTTTTATTTGCTTTTCAAGAGATATATAACACAAAATGAGTTATTTATTTCCTTAAACTGAGTTTCCGTCCATGAAATTACAACCGTATTTTTCTTTGCACTATGATAATTCCAAATTTAAAGAACCAATGTCAACTGAACTTCCACGACCTCAGAATAAATAAACTTACGTTGTCTCCTTCACCAATTTCCACAGAATCGTTAACAAAATCTGCTATTTGTTTCAAACCAGTCTAAATAACGAGTTATTTAGTAGAAAAGCAAGGTTTTTAGAAATTGGCAACAAAAAAAAAAATCAAGTTCTTTTTGACTTTTTCAAAATGGGGCAATTCAACATCAAATTAAACTCTCTCTTGTTTAATATCAAAAATTCAATCAATACTTAACTCTTCAATAAGGTTTTGTCTAAGACTGAAAAGCAGCAATCGCTTACGTAAAAGATTTGCCGTACGGTCAGAGTGCTAACCCTTTTAGGAATTGAAAAACAAAAAAAAACTCTAGGCATTCACGTGGAGGTTCAACCACAAAAGAATTTTTTTTTGAATCAAATATTTAGTTCATAATAAAACGATTCGTGTTTGTATTTCGCGATAAAGAAAATTAAAGAGCAATCAGTGAAAAAGAACAGCAAAATTACAGATTTCTTCCGTGTGTTATGTGAACTTGTGTTCATAGACATATTTTTGCAGTCTTTCTTCAGCTATGCGTATTATTAATTCATAGCAAATATTGCCACCCCTCAAGCCCTTCAAATTGCACACAAAAAACGTAGTTTTGAGGTTACTATTAATTCTTCATTTTAAACTTTATATACCCTTCAAAACAGTATCTCAGACTCTAAATATTTTGTGAAACAGTAATACCTGAAGACAAATCCCAAGAAATATCTTCATCAATTTTTTTAAAAAGCATTCAGGATTTGTTTTTTTATCAATAAAATACTGCTTTTGTTTTAGTTTCTGGAATATATTTCAAATATGAATAAACAAACAGTTTTCAAATAATCACATGCAACTTTCTACTGAAAAAACTAAAAATTCTTAAAGCCCATTCAACGCGGAAGTTTCAAATTTTTAAAAGTGACCTCTTACGGCAGAAATTTGGCTTTTATCATCCATTAGCTCAGCTCTCGACTTGGAGACGAGTAAAGTTTTTCTGGTAAATTATTCCATTTTTTGAACCGGCCACCGAACCCTACTGGTTAGCCAAGTTTAAAAATAAACCTGCGTTTCAACTAAAAATGCAGTTTGTTGTGGGGTGACCCATCAATAGTTTACAACTTTAAATACAAGAAAACCCAACCATTCAACCTCGTCAGCAATTACATTTAGAGATAGTGTCATTGAAAATTACATGGTATAGAGTCCTTCCGACACTTCCAGACTGGTCCATGACAACAACAATGTCAGTGTTCCAAATATGACACTTTTCAGAGGCATCATTACTGACGTATTGGCTCGTACCTGAACATAACGAAAAAAGTTTAAACTATAATTTACTTTCACGTCTAGAACTAGTGCTCTTCAAAAATATGCAAGCTAAAAAAATTTTTTCAAAAAAAACTTAATGTTGATAGCAGCTCTGAAATGAAGATGCTTTACCAATCTAAAAAAAAAACAAAAAAAAAAAAAAAACGTTTTTAAGACATAATAGATACATCCATTTGCTCCAATTGGTTACGATATTAAATCACACTTACCAGCATCCGTAAAACAGCCTTGTTATTCTGTTAGAACCAAAAAGACTGCTTATAAGTATTGAAGCATTTTTGTAATTATTTTAACAAAAAATGTTTCAACTAATATAAAGTCGATAAGTTGTTGGTGATAAATTTTTTATTACAATTATATATGCAGAAAAAGATGGGTTGAAAACGGAATGAGATTAACGCTACAAGCAGTTCTCTAATTTTTACAAGGTATCAAACGCTTAATACTTCCTTTTTCCTAATATATGAAATAATAGCAAAATTTTTCTATTCAGTAACTAAGTTTCCTCTTAAAAAAAATTTCCTTATTTTGAATTCTCAGAAATACGCAAAAATCCTAATCATAACAAACTAAACTCTGCCAGTCAAATCTTAGTCTGCAGTAGAAAAGGCTACGTGGACTCGACCCAAAAACTTTTGAATAAATTTTTCACGTTTTTTTTTTTTTTTTTGCTTCTCACTTTTTTCTCACTTATTTTCATTCTTTTCAGAGCTTCTCCGTGTAAATATTATACTCTTTCGCAGAAAAAATCCTTGCATTTATAAGGACTGTAGTTCCACAAGTCCCTTCCTACACTTTCACTTGTTCACTTTTAAATTCTATGTCTTCCAAAATTTTATTAGCAAAGAACAAGAAAATATCTTCAATAAAAGAAAATTTTTTGAAATAGGTGCTTTATTCTAGCCTTCACTTTCAATATACCATCCGCAGAATATGAGAATTCAATTCCGTGATTGGAACCTGCCTAAATTCTATAAATGAGGTCAGGCCGTTTGGTTACTGGATGTAGCGCTCTGCATTTTAGCCCTAACTCCGCCCATGCTCAGCATGTGAAAATGTAATGGAATATCATAAAGTCGAGAAAGTTTAATGGATTATCTTTACAGAAGAAGATTTATGAAAAAGGAAATGAAAACTTACAAGAGGTGTTGAGAATGAAACCAATTAGAAAGCTGAGCTTTAGTAGTCGCATCTCTCCATTAAAGAAAATTATTAAATGACTCACTGTGTGTGTTTAACAAGTGTCATCAGTTAAAGCAGATAATTTTTTTATGCAAGCATATTGTAATAAATGCCATTGTTGTGCAGGACAAAAAGTGTGCTTGACGTCAGTGGTTCTTTATTTTCTCGTCAGAAACTACAAAAGAAAAGTGCACTTTAATCATTATAAATACCAAATTATCAATTAAAAATTGCCCAGTAAAAGAAAAGTTCTCATTCCTAAAGCTAGGCAAAAAAAGCTCATTTTTTCAAAGATTCAAAAGCTTTTCTTATTTCCCTCACTGTTTTGTGTAAACCTTTTTCTGTGATGTTTCGAAGTGGCAATAACTGCATAACTTACAAGTCAATTTCTCCAAGTAAAGCAGTACTTTTCCTAAACGGGAACAAACACGAATTTTTTCACAAAAAAGTTGTAAACATTCGACTGTACCGTTGATTTTTTTAGTGGTTATAAAAAAGCAAAACACGCAATAGTTCTTAAATTTACTTCTGACAGATACCAATAAAAAAATAAAACAAGAGCAGTAGATAAGAAGATATAAGAAGATAATTAAAAAATCAGCTGAAAATTCTGTTTTTCCAGAGCTTGACAAAACTTTGTAAACAATTACCGAAAAGCGACTGATAAAATCGAATTTCCATCGCACCAGCTTAAACTTTGATATCAAACTGTTAAAGTTCCCTATTTACTGGACAAAGTTCATTTGTCCCACCTGAATCTGGAATGTTGAAAATGACATCATAGTTTAATTACTGCAATAAAAAAGTGTGTGTCTTTAACGGTGTCGTCGTCTACGAAAAAATTAACAACTTTTGACGGATAACAATAAAACAAACCTTCAATTCCTTCCTAACAGTTAATTCTAAATAAATACAAATTTACAAATATTAAACCTACAGTTTCTTGGTTGAAGGTTTAACAGTACTTCGCTATACCCTACTAACCACAGATCACTGTCTCAGCAGACTGGCAGCGGTTGGACGAACAGCCGAAAATTAACACAGCGCGTGAAGGCAAACATGCTTCAGGGTTTAAGTGGCGCATCGTTGAATACTGTGGACTTGTGGTTGTCTGCAACGTTGCATTCTATAACCGGAAACGTCAGAAGTTTTACGATATTTAGTTTTAGGTTTGTCATGGTACATTTGTTTCGTATCCTTAAGTGCTTCAGACATGTTGTTATCATTTAGAAACTTGAAAATAAGCTTATATTTTCTTGTACGTCACTATGTTAAGTGACTGCATCTTTGAATCCAGTTTTCTTAATTCTTTAGCTGTTGCTAAATCCTAGTTAAAACAGTTGATGCCCTTGACTGAATACAGCTTTTTTTTTCTGCTTTTTCCACCACGCTGTGCATGGATGAGTAGTTACAATAAAGTAGAAAAATTAGTTGCCCAAAAAATGCTTTTGTACGTAAACTTATTTCTAGTGTTAATTGTTATAAACTGTTTAGTGACTAAAATTTTTTGAAGTGGCCAATATTTCAAGTGTTAGCGCTAACTTTGTTTGCCCGTAAAAGTAATGCAGTCGATACAGTCACCGGACTCGGATCAAATGGACACTTTGAAGGCTTGTGAGGAAAATTTAAAAAAATCAACAGATCCTCTTAAGGAAGATCAGTCTGAACTTACTTTTGTTAGTTCTTGTACTCATAAAGAATTTTGGCTGCTGATAGTGAAACTTTTTTCCTATATCCAGTTAAATAGGGTCGTCATTTGTGATTCTGATGCGACCTGCTAATTTCTTGAAAGAATGTCTAGTCGGAATGATTGTTTTTTAAAGTCATTTAACTGTCTAAAAAATTAGATTCAGCAAAAACACTTGTTACTTTTATTTATAGTAGAATTGGCATAGATCAAGGGACTTGTCAGTTTAAAACTTTTAAGGGTGGTAGTAAACGAGCAAACATTCTGATGGAACAATCTGATTTGGCTCTAAGCGGTCTTGAAAATTTGTATGTTTTATACGATTTATTTTAAAAACCATCGGCCTGAAAGGTTTCTGCTTTTCTTTCGTTGTTTTCTGTTTCTGTGGATTTGTTGCACAATGTCATTTCGTTTTTTCTTATACTTATTGTGCAAATATCATGCTGCGATTATTTCTTGATACCTTGATTAGTTATATTGACTTACCTCAGTTACATATCTAACCGTTAAGCAGGTGAAAAATTTTAATCAAAAATTGCGTTTAAGAGTTCTGTTTAGTAAACCTTATCTGGGTCTTATTTCGAAAAATAGTTAAGTTCTGTCTAAAAAATTTTTTCGCCATTTCTCAAAGGCGAGAGATTTAGAAGAACAAGATCTTTTTTGGATATCTGATCACATAATAATAATAACAAAAAGTTTCAGATTTAAAGCTACGAATAACCATTTGACTAGAGTCAAAAAGTTGTCTAAGTTGAACAATAAAAAATTAGAACAAGGTACTTTCTTTAACTGTTATATTCTTTTTGTTATCAGTTTTTTTTGTAAAAGCTTTTGAAATCACTATTATATTTACACTTATGTCTTTTAGCACTTTTATTACTTCAGTATTTTTGCTGGGAAATTTTTTGTTGCTTGAAATCTCTTTGATTTTCGGCTAGATTATTGTACTTTGGAAAGCAGTAATGTCTTTATAGTTGAACTGTTAGTTGGGGATAGTGATGGAAGCAGTTCTTTGCTAGAGAGTGTGAAGCGTACTCTTGAGAAGCTTCGAGATCAGAGCTGTTTGAGAAGGCCACGGTTGGAACAAAATGGTA